CCCTCCATAGGCTCCAGGCCGTGGAGCACCAGGAGAGCCCCACTGGAGCCAAACCCTGTCAATCCCATGCTAACCCTCCCCAGCACATCCCTCTGTGCTCATCTTAATGGGCTCAAAACCCAGCACCCAAACTCCTGAACATCACGCCTGGACTTCGCTCCTCAGCACAGGCTCATTCCCCATCCCACGGGGCAGAAAATTCCCAAGCCCACAAGCCGCTTACCGAGCGCTGCTCCGGGTTGGGTGCCCGAATTCCCCATGGGTGGCACGGGCTGCGTGTAAGAGCCACAAGGGTGCTGAGAGAGCAGAAAGAGCAAGGTGGAACACAAGATGCTGTAACTCGCAGCCCGGTGCTGATGGAAGCAGAGAGGAGCCGGTCTAACACGTCCCTGCCAGCCGCAACACAGCTGGCAAGGCTAAGTTTAGACTCACCAGCTTAGCGAGGGTCATTCCTGATCAGCAGAACTCATGAACTCCGGGCTGCAGCACCGGAGAATCCATGGAAATGCCCTGTCCCGGTGGAGGAGCAGCCATTGGCTCAGCCGAGATGGGAAGGACAAGCCCTGGAGCAGCGGTTCCCAGCGACGCAATGCAGCCTCCCCAAAAAGCCAGGTCCTCCCAGCCCCTTCCCCTCCTGCTCCTCCCCACCAGGGCTCCCCGACGCGGCGGGTGCCTCAGCTGAGCCATGGTTTCCATTAGCACAAAGCCCTTCGCCTGACAGAGGCGTTGGTATTTTTAGTTCAAGGGGAATGGATCCAATCTGGCTTTAACGCACACGAAATGAAGACCTGATGGGTGCCAGACCCACACTGAAACAACCCATTTCATAAGCTTAACTCTACTAGTTTTGTACCTGACACCAGAAGGCAACGTGCTGGAGCAACTATTTAGTAGGAAAATGAGACAAGAGGGATCATGAAACGTCTGCGAAAGCACCTACAGACACATGCTGACTTCGTGGACTCTTCTCACTACAAGAAGATGGTTCATTTTGCCAGCACTGTGTTCTTCATGCAAACTACAAACCCTCCTCTTCGTAAGGAGGAGCAGTAAAGATGCAGTTCGACCTGTTGGGGCTGTTGGTTGCACCTCTCCTCCTCCAACCCACACAGATTGAAGTGCTGAGCTGCCCTAAACACCCTGCTGCAAGCTGTGGTGAGGACACCGTGCTGCTGGTTGAGCTGGTTCATGGGGGAACCCCAGCCCTGCTCCCCAGACCTTTGACCATCACAACCCTGTGAAGGGCACCCTCATGCTCCAGTGATGCCCCATGTTTTGGTCCTCTGGACACAGCAGTTCTCAGCACTTCAAGTGAGGACAGACACAAGTTTCGACCCAGTGAGCGCAGGCACAGAGTTTTTGCTGAGCAGAGGCTCTCCCTCACCCCGATCCTTGTTCAATAAAACAAATGGAAAACTCAGCAGGTCATTAAATCAAACCATTCTCTCTCCTCCCACACAAAAGCTGTGGGCTTTGCATCAGAAAAATTGAGCGCAGCTTCCATATCGTTTTTGCTGTGATCACAGAATCAACCGGTTTGGGTTGGAAAGGACCTTAAAGCTCATCCAGTTCCAACCCCTGCCATGGGCAGGGACACCTTCCACTGGACCAGGTTGCTCCAAGCCCCTGTGTCCAACCTGGCCTTGAACACTGCCAGGGATGGGGCAGCCACAGCTTCTCTGGGCACCCTGTGCCAGCGCCTCAGCACCCTCACAGGGAAGAGCTTCTGCCTCAGAGCTCATCTCAACCTCCCCTCTGGCAGGTTCAAGCCATTCCCCTTGTCCTGTCCCTACAGGCCCTTGTCCAAAGCCCCTCTCCAGGTTTCTTGTAGCCCCTTTAGGCACTGAGACGCTGCAATGGGCTTCCTGCAAAGGCTGCCCCTAAGGCAAGCTGCTCTCCATGGGGGACAACCCCAGATAAAGTCACCTGGCTCATGTCTGGTGACGCCAAAGTCCCCCAAAGTGCAGCTGAGCAACAGAACCCATGCTGCAGAAGAGGAGCTGACATGCCAAGGCCACACGGCACATCCTGTCTGTTAAGATACTCTGAATACACCTATTTAGGTGGAAAATAGGATTTCTTCCCCGTGTTTCAGGCTTACTCCCACCAGTTCTGCAGAGTCCCAGACACACTGTTTTGCTGGACTCTGCTGACCTCAGTATTTGTAAGCTCGGGGCCGAAAGCCAAGATGTACAAGTCAGATGCTCATGGTCAGGCTCCCAAACCCACACCCCAGTCTCTGAACAAGGGTGGGCTCTGTTCTTGGTGTTTCCCAAAGCCCCTGCTTTGGGAAGCCAGCGAGAGTTGTTGGCTGCTCAGAGCCTCTAAAGACAAGTCTCTCTTATTTAGGACGTTCCTTTAACACAACCAAGTTGCATCTTCAGCTGGAGAGTGTTTACTCACACCCTGCTCAGTGGAACACACCCCCACCCCACCCCCATTTGCCACATGTCCAAGGCAGGGAGTTGCAACCAGATGATCTTTAAGGTCCCTTCCAACCCAAACCACTGTGTTATTCTATGTCCAGAGCTCGCGGCCTGTGGGACTGGTGGCTTCCCACCCCCCAAGCTGCACAAGAACACACAAGGTATGTGTTACAGGAGAGGAAGCCACTGCTTGCATTATATTTAGCTTCAAAGGCTGTAACCCTTGCACAAATTAAAATCACCCAGCCTTTGTTGCTTGGGCAGGGCTTTGATGCTGGAATTCCCAGCGCAGCTTCTCCACTACTTAGTCATAAAAATAAACCACTTCTCCTTGCAACCAAACCCCCCTCACATGTGCAAACTCAGTTCCACGTTCCTGAGAAGTCCTTACAGCCAACACCAGAGCCAGGAGCCGGGGCCTCGCCTGGGGTCCGTTAAAACAAGTTTATTCCCCATCTGCGGACACACGGAAGAGGTTTTGTTGGGGCGGGTTTTGTTCGTTGCAGCATGGCAAATTCATTTAGGAATTGGCCTTATTCCTAGGAACGGGGCAGGAGTCGCTGCTCTGGAAGCAAACTGCTCCCTGGTGTGTTCCTGCATGGAACTGGGGCTCCGGGGAAGGGCAGGGAGGGAGGAAAAGGGGGGATATTCCCAGTGTACCCCCATCGCCCCGCAGGTTCCCCCCGGGAAGGAGGAC